TATCGTTATTTAAAAATTTACTTTATATAATCTTTCATTGCATTTTTAATCTTACAGAAAAAGAATTATTTCTATTTATCAATTCTATTTATTAATTAAACGTATACACTCCAACTATCAAATTAAAAATTGAGACTCCAGTAGGGTTTAAAGCTGGAGCTTTCCTGTTGAAAAAAAAATTTTTAAATAATAGTATGTTCCACGATATTATAAAAATAATCGTACATTGCCAAAAAATTGGCGACCAGCGCGTAGCTTTGACTTTCGTTACGAAAAATATTAATCGTGGCATTAAACAGTAAAAAAAAAAAAAAAAAAATAGTCACGTTCAAGCAGCATTAACAAAGCAGCATTGCGGCAGAGAATCAAGACATTTTCTGTTATTTGTTGAAACAAACCGCGATATAACCGTTGACCGGCCGTGTGGAAAGCGCGAAGGCTTCGAGAAGTGGTTAGACGTTTCTGCTGAAACCGTCGCGAGGATTTACGGCTGCAGCGTGGTCTTTAATCTCGAAGAAACCGCTGTGCACTTCACGGCGTTCAACTTCGTGAATCCGAGAGCTGACGTTCGCACAGGTGCTATTGATTTAGACGTTCGTTCCCGTCGATCGATCGACTTAATTCAGGAATCGGCGCATAAATTGCCGAGCCCGAGTCCGAAAAGGGTGAACAAAACGCAAAACAGGTTTTACACAAACGCGAACAAAACTGAAATCACGGCTCTCATTAATATTCGGACACCCAGACAGAATATGTTACAACGTTATCGAATTAATGTACGAAAGTACATTAAATAAATGAAATTTATTTCAATATTCTTCTTCGAGGAATTATTATATAAAATTACCATACAGTGTAATACAAAGTTAATACAAATTTGACGTAACTTATCCGTTACCTCAGGTTTCTTCGCGACTTTGATTTCGCTGTTATTTGCTCGCAAATTACACGTACATTAAATAAATAAAAAAATCAGAGTACTTAAAAATTGTCAAAACCAAGGCTACGATAAACAAATTTCTCGCGTTTATAAAACTGGCCCACCGATATACGCGAATTTATAGAAACCTTAGACACTTGCGACGAAACGAAAGGAAGTCTCGAAACGTTGGAACGTTAGGCGCGCGCGATCACGCGGTCGCGATGAAATCACGGCGTCGACCGGTGAACGAGGACGAAGAGGGTTTCCGGTACGGACGTTGGACTAACGCGAGAGGCGAAAGAGACGCTGGAAAACGAAAGGAAGTATCCCGTGGACGATATGTTGGACACAGGCTTTCGTTTAGCTCGGGTGGGACGGGACATGTCAAAGAACTTAATTTCTTCGCGGCGGACCCTAATTTCTCCGGTGTTTTAGTTTAGTATAGGTTCGGCTGGCACGGCTGTAATCAGGGGGGCCTTAATGGCGGGTTGCCGAGCCCGGCGTGTGAACTGTGGGCGTGAACCACTCGCTTCCTATCTTCGGTATCTGACGTGCAGCACGTGCTCGACTGGGCGAGACCTTCTTGCCGCTATTAAGAAGCGTGCTCCGTAACATCTACCCCGCCGTCTCCTCCGCCAACAACCACCGTCGTCGATTCCTCTCGTCGATAAGAAGCCGCGCGTCCCGAGGAATTTTCAATTCCTCGTGCCTCGCGTGCCACGCGGTGGAGAACCGCCGGTCAATCCGTAATTAATTCCACCGCGCACACCACGATCGCGCGAATCGCGTGATCGAGAGATCTTCCGAAAAGGATCGCCCTCGCTGAGGCAGATTCCTTGCTCTTCAGCGATTTTTACTTCCGGACGAATTTTTTATCCCTCGTGTAACTGACGTGTTTGCTACAATTTATTTCTCGAGGGATCTTTACGCACGAACGAATGATTTTCTATCCTTTAAGTTAATTAGTAATCGAAGTGTTTGTGTTGTAGATTAGAATGGTTCTTCTTTAGAATTTGGATAAAGATGGAAGATTCGACAATTTGGACAATTTTAAATATACTCGACACTTTTCATTTCTCAAGTTCCGTTTTCTTGATCGACGCGTTTGATTTCATGTTTATTTTCAGGAGGGAGCAGCGGCGACGACTCGGACACGGAAAGCGAGCCAGGAATTGCGTTGAAGAGGAAACAGCGTAGAAGTAGGACCACGTTCACCGGCGAACAGCTTGAACAACTTGAGGCAGCTTTCCATCGAACACAGTATCCCGACGTGTACACTAGAGAAGAATTGGCTCAAAAGTACGTGGGCCATTTAATTTCACATTGTTGGTTTCTACGAAACGCAACAATTGATACGTATTATCAAATTGTGCAGCGAAGAGCATAACTGTACCAATGACGATAACTATCTAATATAATAACTTCTAACTAAAAAAAGGTCATATATACGATCCGCTCGGTTCCATTCTAAAGCGTCAAGTTTTTACTCTGACAATCACGAGTTTGCTTCCTTTTTGAAGATGCAGCGAGTAGGAAAGTCAGGATACTCTTTTCTCGAAAATTGTAAAAATTCACACGCGTGTAAGAACATTAAAAAATTTCTTTTGGTGACTGGATCCACTGTTTTAAAGATTGAAGTTTTTTTCTTCGCAAGGAACCCTTAAAACCTGCGGTACGACTTTCCTCCGCTATTTTGTTGAACTTTGAACAGAGTTAGATGACAATCTTGAATTTTTGTCAACATTCGACGTTTAATAAAATGATGAAAAAAAAAATCGTACAAGTTACAAAGGATTATTATGAAATCTGGAAACATTAATCTTCAAAATTACAGATGTAAAATCGTTTTCGAAAAAAAAAAAAAACGGACTCAAGTCTAGAACCCAACTAGAGGCTTCACGCTTTCGAAGTGGACCGTTGTACAATTTTTCATTGGTTATGCTCTCTTCGCGAAAATCTTAATTTGCAGAAAATTTGTTCGTTCGTTGCCGTTAATCCCGAGGTGTCTCCGTTGCAGAACGAATCTGACCGAGGCACGCGTGCAAGTGTGGTTCAGTAACAGACGGGCCAGGCTTCGCAAGCAATTAAACAGCCAACAGTTGAACGCTTTCAACACAATGAGCTTGCAGTCGTTTCAAACGCAGCACTACGGTAGCAGCGCCGAGAGTTATCAGAGCTATGGCCAGGCATCGGTAGCTGCAGCCGCAGCAACCACCGCCGGTTATTCTCAACATTACAACTATAGCGAGAATTACTACGCCGCTCAGCAACAATGGCCGAGACCAACCGCGGAGAATTATGGGTGAGAATTATACCATTTGTCAGAGACTTTTATCAATAACACGGACAAATTTGTTCTTCGTTGCTAAGAAGAAATTTCATGGAAAGGTTATCAAAATATTGTCAATCAGGGGTGGCTTCATTTTTTGTAAACACTCATCCGTAGCGTTTTCTTTATGACAGCGAGCTCCAGCTAAAATCGTCGTGATCTCGACTCTGGTTGTTTGAAACTTATTTAATTTGTTCCTTGGTGTCGAATTGACACCGATATTAGCAACTATAATAGATAGAAAATAATTAACAGCAAGAAATTTACAGCAATAAATTTCCTTTCAATTGTACGTGAGGTTCACACAAATTCAATTTCATCTTCTGGCCTTACCTTCTCCATCTGCGTTCTCAATTTCCAACTTGTTGCAACTGCATTCGAAACCAGAAATTTTCAAAAAGATAGTGCATGGAATGTATCATTCCATAATTAAAGTTAGAAAGCAGTTCACTGTCTGCTCAAACGTTATTATTCTGACGACGTGTTTTATTACATCAAAAACTATATGCTGCACAGCTGTGTCTACGTGCTTCGAAGATGTAACGCAACATTTCGTGAAATTCAAAGGTTAAGAAAATGATCGAAATGACCGAGGGTGGTTCCGTGTTTTTCTAAACAACTGCCAGGAAATTATTGGAATACAATGCTGTGCAGCGTGAGTTGCAAAAATGTTGATACTGTGAGGCTGGAAAGGTCGAAGGACCCCCCACGAGGTCCATCGTCGAAGCAAAGTGCACGTTGTCGGGATAGAGATACATTATCCCGGGCGTTTAAAGCGAGCGAGCTTTGGTAGAAAAAAGGAAAGAAATCCGGCAGATAGTCGATCCAGAGAGAGAGAGAGAGAGAGAGAGAGAAAAGGCAGCTCGCAGGGTGTTTCGAACAATTAATTCAGCCATTGTGGCGTAATAACAGGTTGGCGAAATGCCTGCCTGCTGCAGCGTGCTGTTACACGCAGAGTGCGGAGGCCAATTCGCAGACCGCAAACGACGAAAGTTTCCGGAAGAAAGACGGACGAAACGATGAACAAGCGAACTGCAGAGAGAAATTGAATGTGGAATCTGAGAACGGGAAGAGAGAGAATTTTTCTGCGAGGTTCACTTTGGTTATTGAATAAGTGTCATGTGAATATTTATACGAATCATGGAGAAAGGGAAATTTTCAGCTTATAAAGAGTATATGTGCGATAATGGTTTAATAGGTAAGACAATTTTTTGCCTAAATTCAATTTAAAAATTTTTTTCATTCTATCCATTTTTAATACCGGGAAACAAAAATTTTGTTCAAAGGTAGCGAAACAATTGAAATGTGGATTTT